CAGCCGGCCATTGCCTGCATTCAGCCACAGAGACCCTCCCTCTGGAGCCTTCTGCTTCTCTCCTGCTCAGATGGCATCATCTAACGCCCACCCGAGATGACAGTCAGCAATTCCTTCTGAGTTCCACATTTTGCCTGAGGAAAAATTGGACCGTCAGCCCTGACGAATGAGTTGCCATGGCCTTTCCAAAGGTCTCTTCACCTAGAGACAACCCAGTTGAGTGCTTCTCGAAGACATCAAAGAAGGAAGACAAAAAGCCCATCAAGTACTGTTACCCAGAAACCTGATTTTTAAAAACACCTGATGTCCATAAGAAAACCCCGTCTGACAGATGACTATACCCCCAGCTGTGAGTTATAAGAGCTATACAACAATAAATGCCCCCTCCATCTGTGAGACATAAAGAAACCTGACTCTCCAGGCCTACCTCAGCCTGAACCTCTCCTCACCCTGCAAGCCCTGGACGGATAGGACAGCCCAAGCTCTATCAGATTGGGCCTGAGAGCCTGCAGTCATTACCAAAGCCAGGGACAAACCTGTGACTTTCCTGGTAGACAACAGAACAGAGCTCTCTGCCTTCAAAAGACCCCTCTGTCAGAAAGTTAACATCACTGGGGCAACTGGGACTCTTGCCTCTCAGCCCTTCTGCCAGACACAAACTTGCAGCCTGGGAGGACATCTCACCAAACGTGAATTCCTGTTACCAAGCCAGTCAGCCTCCCTCTTGTTGAACCATACACTCTCCCTGAGAGGAAGATGACACGGATAACTGCAGTCCTAAAATTCTGAAAATTCTCCTCCCAGAGGTATGAGGAAGACTCACCTCCAGGCCTAACCACCACCCATGCTCCAGCCACACCTCGGCCTCCTAAAGCAGTTTGGGATCCTGCTGGACTGTTAATCACCTTACCGCACTTCCCTCCTCCCAGTAAAAATGCCTAATGGAGAGTACCAACCAGTGCAAGATCTCCATGCCATCAACAACATCGCCATCACCTTGCACTCTGCAGTTCCTGACCCATACACCCTTTCTGGACTGTTCTAGATGTAAGAGATGCCTTCTTCTGCTTGAGAGTTGCTCCCATGAGCCCTTTCAACTGGGAAAGTCCTGAAACCAAAAGCCAGCTCGCCCGGACTCAATCGCCATAAGGGGTTAAGAGCTCTCCCACTATTTTGGGGGAGGCTCTGAGGACAGGTTAGGCCAAGCCACCAGCACCTTTTCTCCGAGACACCCTGTTTCTCTGTCCCTTTCAGCTCCACCATGGTCTCCCGAGCAAACAGTATAGACTGTCAAACTGCTACAGTACACCTCTCCTGCCTGTAAAGCCAGTTCAGGATCTCTGAATTGATAATGCCACCATGATTGCCTCCGTATACACTGTGTCAGTCTTCTGCCACCCACAGCCTGCTGGTACACCTGCCTGGACCTAAAGAATGCCTTCTTCTGCCTTTGATTGGCTCCTGTTAGCCAGCTCCTCTTCACAGCTGACCTGGACTCAACCTCCCAGCGGTTCAAAAACTTGTTTCCTCTTTGAAAAAGCACTTCTGATTAATGACACCCAAGCTGCCTGCTGGAAAGACACAAAAGCTCTGCTATAATATCTGGCAGAAACTGGGTACAAGGAAAAAAAACCCTGCAAATTTCTTGGAGCTGCTGGCTTCTGGAGAATCTGGATCCTTGAGTTCACAAAAAAACGATGATGCGTACTCAGATTGTCAGCCCCAGGGAGCGCCGCATGGCCCTACCTGTGCAAATACTTGGATCCGGTCACTAAGGGCTGCCAACCCCTTTTGCCTTCAGACTCTAATAGGCACTGTCCCTGTGATCAAGAAAGCTGACAGGCTCCCCTTAGGCCAGGACCTAACTGTCCAGGTGCCATATGCTGTACTGGACCTAAAAGTAGAGCCCCTGACAGATGCTGAGTAAACCCTGTTTACAGATGGAAGTAGTTCTGTTAAGAAGGTAGTCCGAAGCCAGGTGTGGTGGTGCACACCTGTAATCCCAGCACTTGGGCGGCAGAGGCAGGAGGGTTGCTGTGAGTATGAGGCTACCCTGGGCTACATAGTGAGTTCAAGGCTTGCCTGCACTGCATAGCAAGACCCTGTCTCAAAAAACAAACAAAAAAAAAGAATGGAGTCTGACAGGCTAGATATGCTATGGTTACCTTGGACAGTTATTTTGGCCAAAGCTCTGCATCCTGCACTATTTGGAAACCTGTTACCAGCAATGCCAGATCTGCACTGCTAAGCCTGCTCCAGAGATCTAATTGACTAGAATATCAACCCTAGCCGGAAAAACCTTACCTGGTACTCCCGGAAGATCAGAGCCAGACCTTCCCCCACTGTTTGTTCTGCAAGCTCAAGCCACAGCTCTGGTACTTGTACCCCTGCAGCCGGCTCAGGCTTCAGCATCTGTGTTACTGACCCTGATCTCCACCTGGAATGACTTAGTGCTTGTCTGTACCTACTCAGGCTGTCCAGGACAACAGAAGCTTGTAGGGTCCTACTGTGAGAAATCATCCCTAGGTATGGCCTACCCTTGACCATTGGCAGAAATAATGGACTGTATTTGTAGCACAGATAACTTAAAATTGGCAGAACTATTAAAGATTAAATAACAATAGCATACAGCATACACCCCACAAAGTTCTAAAAGAGTAAAGAAATAAAACACAGCCCTACAGAAGCAGCTTATAACTAGCTCCACAAAAGTTTAGCTAAAAGACCAGCTATACCTGTAGACATTCCTGCACACATGTATAACCCAGGTGCCTATGAGCCCATCTAGACAATTGCTAGGAATTTACCTGGACAGCTCCTCCGGGGCTCACTGTAAAGAGACAACACACTCAAAGCCCTGCTGTGGTCACTGCAGGTGCTGACCAGTCCACGCACAGCTGAGGATTGCTCCACACCTATTCCCCATGACTTTTGTGCCTTTTCATGCTGTTTACCCCAATCCTTGCTTTCCTGCCGCACTCCTACCTCTGGCTTTTGCCTTAGACTCTATAGATGGTTGCCCCAAGAAAATAAAACAATCAAACACTTGACCAAGATTGATGATTGTCCAAGGTACATTGGACACTCTCCTGGATCAAATTAACTCCCTCACTACCTTGCCAGAGTAATGTTATAGAACAGACAGGCCTAAATTATGTCTCTTCCTAAAAGCAACTTAGAGAAAAACTCTGTAATACAATCTTGGGGACCTTGGCTAGGGTCCATCCTAGGTTTACTGATAACCCTAATGTTACCGCTTCTAGCTGAGCCTTGTCTCAGAAGATCACATGTAATATACCCAGCAAAGATTTGCCAGGGAAATTAAAAGAGGGGAGAAATGTAACAGAACCAGCCTCTCCACCCTCCACAATATACTTCAGTTTCTTAGTTGCCTAGGTAATAGTTCCTGTTACAGTTCCGGTTGCTTCTGTCTCTTAGAAACGGCTGGTCACTGTGATGCACATTGTAAGAAACAACCAAAGACAGCCAAGTTCCCTGCCTCTGTAACCCCCCCTTTTACAACCCCATAAAAACCTCCCTCCTTGGATCTTTGGGGCCTGACATTTTGAGGGACAATTGATTCACTGTCAGTGCCCATCCGATGTTAAATAAAAATCTGCCTCCAAATCCTGGGTGTTGTTTTGGTGTTTCTGCTTGCCGTTGTAGTACCACTGTATAACTACAGTTTTAACTTTGCATCTTCTAATTACTTAATTAAGTAATTTACATTACAGGTGTGTAGCACCACCACTGGCAGCTTTGCATCTTTCACTTTATTTATTTTATTTTTTTTTTTTTAGGTATGATCTCTGTCTTAGTTACTTTTCTGTTGTTGCTGAGACAAAATACCCAACACCCAAAGTTAAAGGAAGGAAAGGTTTATTTAGCTCACAGTTTGTGGAGGTTGCAGTCCATAATCGGCTGGCTCGAAGGCAGGGTGGCTTGGCAGAGGAGCATCACAGAGGAGAAATAATTCGTGGCAGGAGAAGACAGCAAAAGCAAGCCAGGGAAGGAGGAGACAAGCCTCCTTCTGCCCCTTTTATCTTATCCAGACTGCTAGGATTAGGACAGTGCCAATCCAATCAATGGACTGATCCCGGCAATCACCCACCCTTAATACCAGCACCCTTACTCCGATTCATGAGTCAGAATCAGTCTCAAACTCCAGCTTCAGCTACCTCCAAAAAAGTCCTATCTAAACGTGCATGAGGCTTTTGGGGTACATCTAGACACAAGCCATAACAATGTCACTATGTAGTCCAGGCTGGCCTCAAACTCATAGTTACACTTAATGCCCCTTGAGCACCATTTCATATCAAGACATATGGATCATGGAGGAAATTTGTTTTGTTTGTGATGCTGGAGATCGAACCTAGGGCCTAACATTTGCTAGGTAAATGCTCTACCACTGGGCTACATCCCCAACCTAAGAAAGATATTCTTCTTCTAATATTAATTTTTTTAGTTTGTTTTTTTTTGTTTTTTTTTTTTTGAGACAGCATCTCACTGTGTCGTTCCAGCTGGTCTTGGACTTACTATGTAGTCTAGGCTGGCCTTGAACTTGTGGCAGTCCTTCTGCCTCAGCCTCCTGAATGCTGGGATTACAAGTGTGTGCCACCAGGCCTGGCCCAAGGAAGATATTTTTAAACCTTGAGGTACTTTTTTTTTTACCCTTAGTAAATTGTCCTTCACTTTCCACTTCTCATGTTGTCCTATTTGATTTCCTAGGGAAGGGTTTGAGTATGGTGAGTGCTGAGTCACCACACCAAGACAGATCCTTTCACAGTCTCGCTGTGTGATATTCTGCCACACAAACACCGCTCCTGGTGTCAGTATTAAACTTTGGTTCTCTCTCCGGCTTCTCTTATCCTCCAAATTTCCCAGGTAGCAGGATGGGTGAAGACTCGGGGGTCTTTCTCAGGCTGATGGCCAAGTCTGTGGTGTCTCTTTTCCCTCCTGCTCTTCCTGCTTGTGTCTGACATCTTTTATTTCCACTCCAGGGGAAGCCGTATGTCTTCGACCGTGTGTTCCCCCCAAACACGACTCAGGAGCAAGTTTATCATGCGTGTGCCATGCAGATTGTCAAAGGTAAGACATGTGTTTTAAAGTTTTCTCAAACTACCCATTCCCTGTCTCACGTGCCTCCAACAGTATTCTTCATTCTATCTTCTAGATGTCCTTGCTGGCTACAATGGCACCATTTTTGCTTATGGACAGACATCCTCAGGGAAAACACATACCATGGAGGTGAGAGTTCTCCCCGGGGAGGAGGAGTGAGGGTGTTCATAGGAATCTCAGTAGGGGAAGACCTAGGAATCAAGAGCTGCCTGGTCCAAGGCAGACGGGTAGAGAGAATGAACTGAGGGGCAGTGCTATAGGGGAAGTTCAATGGGATCCCTTGAATCTACTGTTTACCCCTACTCTGATTGTCTCCTTTTGATCTGGAAAAGCAGCAAAGAAAGTCCAGGGCACCTCAGTTATTTTCTTCTACTGAAAAGTAGATGTAGTGGGGACCATGTCCTAATTTAGGATGCTGCTCCACAGCACCCCTTTGTGTTCCCCTGCCTACCTCTGAGCTATCTCCTTGCTCCCTCACTCCCCAGGGAAAGCTGCACGACCCCCAGCTGATGGGAATCATTCCTCGGATTGCCAGGGACATCTTCAACCATATCTACTCCATGGATGAGAACCTGGAGTTCCACATCAAGGTGATCTAGACCTGAAGGCTAGGCATCCGCGGATGGGGCTGGGAGGAGGAGGAGGAGGAGGTCTAGAATGAACCCACTGAAAATCCTGGGCTCCCCACTTTGACCCTCCCCTCTGGTTACCTCAGTTCTTCTCCAGCAAGAAGTTCTTTCCTGCCCACCTGCACCCTTTGAGTGGGTTGTGGTAGCTTGAGATCCCTGTGTTAGGTTTGAGCTAAGCTCTCTTCACTTCTCCTTTCTTCCTAACCAGGTTTCTTATTTCGAGATTTACCTGGACAAGATTCGTGACCTTCTGGATGGTGAGTGTTTAGCATCACTGGGTTAGGAGGGGGGAGAGGACTAGGGAGTTGATTGCTGTTTGGCCCATGGGATACGCCTGAGTTCCTGGGCTTCACTCTCCAAGAATTTCCAAGAATTCAGAGTGGGAAGATGAGCTTCAAGTCCAGGCCTACACATAGTCTTATGGGAGCAGGAGTTTTGGAACTGGAGCCCTGAAGATGAGGAGGAGGAGGGGTGGGAGGTGCTGAGCGCTCAGCATGAAGGTGGAGTTCAGGCTTCACCAGGGAGTCTCCCTCTCTTCAGCACAAAGAAGCAGCCACCGGGCCAGGTGTGGTGGCGCACTCGTGTAATCCCAACACTCGGGAGGCTGAGGCAGGAAGCTCGCTGCAAGTTCAAGGCCAGCTTGGGCTACAAAGTGAGCTCAAGGCCAAACTGAACTGCACAGCGAGACCCTGTCTCGGAAAGACAAAACAAAACAAAACAAAGAAGCAGCCACCATCTGAGTGGACTGCAGGGTGCAGGGGCTGGGTGGACGCGCTGGCCTTGCTCACCCTGTATTGTCTTGATTCAGTGACCAAGACCAACCTGTCTGTGCACGAGGACAAGAACCGGGTGCCGTTCGTCAAGGTGAGAGCGGGGCAGACCAGTGTATGGGGGGCGCGGGCACGAGTTCCAGGTGGGGAAAGTGAGATGGGCCAGGGGGCCAGGAGCGTCTGCAGACTTGGAGAAGATCCTGTCAGGCTGGCAGTTTAATGTGCAGACCAGAGTTTATGGGTCCCTGTCCATTCCTCCCTACAGGGTTGTACTGAGCGCTTTGTGTCTAGCCCGGAGGAGATCCTGGATGTGATTGACGAGGGGAAATCGAACCGTCACGTGGCCGTCACGAGTGAGTGGGGCTACAAGGGACCCTTGAGTCTGGCGGTCACCTCTCTTCTGTGCCCCTGTGGGAGAGTGAGCAGGGAGGACTGTGGTCCAGAGGAGGGCCGCCGGCTCTGAGGCCCCCTCTGTCTCGGTGGGGATGGCAGCCGGCGGGAGCCGAGCTCCGCGCGGGTTGGTGCATTCCCGTCTCTCCCCGGCTCCTGCAGACATGAACGAACACAGCTCTCGCAGCCACAGCATCTTCCTCATCAACATCAAGCAGGAGAACATGGAAACGGAGCAGAAGCTCAGCGGGAAGCTGTACCTCGTGGACCTGGCGGGGAGCGAGAAGGTTGGGGGTCCTGTGGGCTAGGGTGAGGTGGGTCGAGAAGGAAGCCTGGCGGGAAGGTGCCTTTTTTTTCCATTAAAACTTTTTTTTGGATTGAGATAGGGTCTCCCTTTGTAGATCAGGCTGCCCTTGAACTTGAGGTGATCCTCCTGCCTCAGCCTCCCGAGTGCTGGGATTACAGGCGTACGCCACCATGCCCGGCCTTAAAGAACCTTTTTAAATTGAAATAGAATTCATATTCCAGAAAGTTTGCTATTTTAAAGTGTATCGTTCAGAGGGTTTGGTATGTTCACAAGGGTGCACAGCCAGCCCCGCTGTATAATTCCAGGACATTTTCCTTACCCGGTCACAGTCACTTCCTGTCCTCCCCGACACCCGATCCTCGGAAGCCACTAATCTACTCTCTGTCTGAATTTGCCCACCCTGACTATTTCACATAAACAGAATTAAATAACATGGCGGGGCCTTTGGAGAGCGAGTTGAGGGGGTGAAGGAAGGGTCTTCCCTGGCTCTGGCCAACCATCTCTTACTCTGTCGTCTCTCATTCCCTCCCCTTTTCTTGGGCTGGGCCCCCTAAGTTGGAAGAGTCGGTGAGGATCCTTACAAAGGCTCACGAGACACTCATCCCTTAATGCTCTGGCAGGTCAGCAAAACCGGAGCCGAAGGAGCCGTGCTGGATGAGGCAAAGAACATCAACAAGTCGCTGTCCGCCCTGGGCAATGTGATCTCCGCCCTGGCCGAGGGCACCGTAAGCGCCCCTGGGTGCCCTCCGCCCCTCCCTCCGAGCCCACCTGCGCCTCCTCCCTCCCTCCCTCCAAAGCCCAGCTTCCGGGGTTTGCTCGGTTCCCATTCGGCACCACCGTTCTTTCTGAACCCCTGTTGAATTTATCTTTCTGATTCGCGGTCTCCCTCCTTCCCAGAAAAGCTACGTGCCCTACCGTGACAGCAAAATGACCCGGATCCTCCAGGACTCTCTGGGAGGAAACTGCCGGACCACCATGTTCATCTGCTGTTCGCCGTCCAGTTACAATGATGCAGAGACCAAGTCCACCCTGATGTTTGGGCAGCGGTCAGTGGCAGAGTCCGCCGAGGGAGCGCTGGCGCCCAGCCCCCGTCTCAGCCCCTCTAGCTGTCCCAGCCAGTGTCCCCAGGCCAAAGGCAGGTCACATCTCCTTGTTTCTCTCGTCTTCACCCAGGGCAAAAACCATTAAGAACACCGCCTCAGTGAACCTGGAGTTGACTGCCGAGCAGTGGAAGAAGAAATATGAGAAGGAAAAGGAGAAGACCAAGGCCCAGAAGGAGACCATCGCGAAGCTGGAGGCTGAGCTGAGCCGCTGGCGCAATGGTTAGCGGGGAGCCTGCGGGCATGGTGGGAGGAGGTGGGCGTGGTGGGAGGAGGCGGCGGGCGGCTCGGCACTGCGCGGGGGTCCTGGCGTGGAGGAATGGAGGAGGAAGCGTTCTGTCTGCACTCGGCTTCGTCTTCAGCTCTCCCTTCGCTCTGCCCCTGCCAGGAGAGAACGTGCCTGAGACCGAGCGCCTGGCTGGGGAAGAGGCGGCCCTGGGAGCCGAGCTGTGTGAGGAGACCCCTGTGAACGACAACTCGTCCATCGTGGTGCGCATCGCGCCGGAGGAGCGGCAGAAGTACGAGGAGGAGATCCGCCGCCTCTACAAGCAGCTCGACGACAAGGTGAGGGCGCGGGGACGGGAAGGCGGGGGACTGAGACAGTTCCCTTATACCACCTTTTTCTCATTTTACTTTTTTTGGTACCGGGAATCGAACTCAGGACCGCTTGCTTTTGAGACAGGTGCTGCGCCGCTGAGCTATATCCCCAACCCCTCTCTTTCTCTCTTTAAAAGGGATAAATAATTCCTTATTGCAAAGGTAGAAAGTAAATAAAAATGTAGAAAGTTAAAACCGCCCATCACGCTGCCATTCAGAGATAATATTTTGCTGTTAACATTTTGCTATTCTCCTTAAATGAACGATGCAATTGAGATAGCCTGTTTCTTTTTTTTTTTTTTTTTCTTTTACTGGGAATCAAATTCAGGACCTTGTGCTTGCCAGGCAGGTGCTGTGCCACTGAGCTATATCTCCGGCCCGGGATAGCCCACATATATGATTTTGCATCCATTTTTTTCATTCAACATATTATGAACAATTTTCTACTTAAAAATTGTTTGTGCCTTTTAAAAGGCTGCCTACAAGTCCATTTATGAAGACATACTTAACCATTCATTTATTACAAGGCTTGCACACCACTTGGGAGGCTGAGGCAGGAGGATTGTTGTGAGTTTGAGACCAGCCTGGGCTACAAAGTGAGCTCAAAGCCAGCCTGAACTGAATAGTGAGACTCTGTCTCAAAAAAAGGCAATAAATAAATAAATAAATAAATAAAAATAAATATTGCAAGGCTTGCAGTTTTTGTTATTTTAAGTAAGTTGGAAATGACTATCTTTTATATATAAGACTTTGCTTTTTTTTTTTTCTTTTTTTCTTTTCAGTACTGAGTATCAAACCCAGGGATTCATGCATGCTAGGCAAGTGCTCAAGAGCTGGTCTACATCCCCAACCCTTTTTGTTTGTTTGTTTTGAGATAAGGTCTTGCTATGTAGCCCAGGCTGGCCTTGAACTCGTGCTGATCCTCCTGCTTCAGCTTCCTGAGTGTGGGGATTACTTATAGGCATGTGCCACCACACTGGTTTTGTTTTTTTATTTTTACTTTGGAGATGTGGGCTTGCTAAATTGCCTAGGCTGGCCTTGAACCTGCAATGCTCCTGCCTCAGCCTCCTGCACTACCACACATGGCTACGACTTAGCTTTTTTTGAGGTGAGTCTTGCTTTGTAGTGCAGGCTGACTTTGTTTGGTTTTTTTTTTTTTTTTTGGTCTTTTTGAGACGATCTCGCTATGTAGCTCAGGCTGGTGTTGAGCTCACTTTCTAGCTCAGGCTGGTCTTGAACTCACAGTGATCCTCCTGCCTCAGACTCCTGAGTGCAGGGATTACAGGCGTGCGCCACCACACCCGGCAGTGCAGGCTGACTTTGAACTCACTGTGTAGCCCAGGCTGTCCTCAAACTTGCAGCAGTCTTCCTGCCTCAGCCTTCCAAGTACTGGAAGTACAGGTGTGCACCAGCACGCCTGGCTCTAAGACTTAGCTTTTGAATGACTGGGTTAAAAGGAAGTGTTAGAGTGGAATTTCTAGTTAAAAGATACGAATATTTAAAGGCTTTTACTGGCTGGTGCAGTGGCACATGCCCAGCTACTCAGGAAGGTAAGACAGAAGGACGAGGTTTGAGGCTGGTGTGGGCAATCTAGGAAGACCTTGTCTCACAATAAAAAACAAGATAAAGGGCTAGGGATATAGATCAGTGGCACAGCACCTGCCTGGCAAGTGCAAGGTCCTGAGTTTGATACAAAAAACAATAATAATAATACAATAAAATAAGAACAAAATGGGGGCTGGGGATTTAGCTCAGCGGCAAAGCAGCTGCCTGGCAAGTGCAAGGTCCTGAGTTTGATACAAAAAACAATAATAATAATACAATAAAATAAGAACAAAATGATGCCAGGGATGGTGGTGTACACTTATAATCTCAGCACTCCAGAGGCTGAGGCAGGAAGATTGCCATGAGTTTGAGGCCAGTCTGGGCTACATAATGGGGTCCTGTCTCAAAAAAAAAAAAAAGATGGGGCTGTAACTCAGTGCGAAGGCTCTGGGTTTAGTCCTCAGTAGCACACGCACATACACACACACCAAAAACAAACAGAATAAAGGCTTTTGCTATGAATCGTCAAGGTTCTATTAACTTCCTCGGAGAAAGGAATCTAAAGCTAAGAACTGGAGTCAGAGAAAGAAGGTGAGAAAGACATCTGCGTAGCCTGTGAACTTCCTAGCTCAGAACCCAAACTGTTAGGATTTCGCTCAGGATCCCACCTCTCCCCTTGCCCCAGAACTCCGAACTGGAAGGAATGGCTTCCCTCACCAGGGCCCCCTTGCCTCCACAGGACGATGAGATCAACCAGCAGAGCCAGCTCATCGAGAAGCTCAAGCAGCAGATGCTGGACCAGGAGGAGGTAACGGGAAGGGAGAAGACGCTGGAGGGAGGGGCTTTGTGTTCATCCCTACGAGACATGAAGAGACGTCTTTAAATAAAATCTGGCCGGGCATGGTGGCGCACGCCTGTCATCCCAGCACTCGGGAGGCTGAGGCAGGAGGATTGTTGTGTATTCGAGACCAGCCTAGGCTACAAAGTGAGCTCAAGGCCAGCCTGAACTGCATAGCGAGACTCTGTCTCAATAAATAAAAAAATAAGTAAAATCTGATGGAAGAAAGGACATTCTGCTCAGGGCTTTCACCGCACCCCCGCCCCTCAACTACCGGAGTCTGGAAACTTCACTGGGGCTGTTCTTGAAGTCCAGATGTTGGAGAAGCCCAGGCGCTTCTGCATTCTATTTCCTGATTTCTGTGGGCCCGACGCCCACCTCTGGACTCGATTTGGTGGGGGCTCAGCTTCCCTAGACTCAGGGGCCGTGGAAGTGAGCATGAGTAACAGCTCCCTCACACGCGTCTTCTGTGAAGCTGCTGGTGTCCACCCGAGGAGACAACGAGAAGGTGCAGCGGGAGCTGAGCCACCTGCAGTCGGAGAATGACGCCGCGAAGGAAGAGGTGAAGGAGGTGCTGCAGGCCCTGGAGGAGCTGGCGGTGAACTACGACCAGAAGTCCCAGGAGGTGGAGGAGAAGAGCCAGCAGAACCAGCTTCTGGTGGATGAGCTGTCCCAGAAGGTGGTGCGTGGCCTGCGAGCATGCCGAGGGCCCCCTGACCCCAGCCCCTCTTCCGCGCCCAAGGCGTGTGGTCCTCCTGTGTGCACAGCAGGCCCGTGTGTCGTGGTGCTCTCTCGCTCTGCGACTGCACTTGGCCCTCCTGGTCCTTCTGCCTTGCAGACACTCCTGCGGGGCCTGTGCTCCTCCCGTGGAAGCCCTCGGGGTCATGCCTGAAGTGGGGAGGGGAGAAGGCGGTGGCGGTGGGAATGACATGAGGGCTGTCCTCAGGCCACCATGCTGTCTCTGGAGTCTGAGCTGCAGCGGCTCCAGGAGGTCAGTGGACACCAGCGGAAGCGAATTGCTGAGGTGCTGAACGGGCTGATGAAAGACCTGAGTGAGTTCAGTGTCATCGTGGGCAACGGCGAGATTAAGCTGGTGAGTGTGTGTGTGGTGGGGGAGATGGCAGTCCTGTGCAGGAGCGCCAGGGAGGGGCCATCCAGCCCTCTGGGACACGGAGAAAGCTGGGCCAGAGGACAAGGAAATGTGGTCTCAGGCTAGACTCAGGAAGCCAGATAGAGGTTTGTAGAGGCTCAACTGAAAAATACATTCTACAGTATACAAATAAAAGCTGGCGTGGTGGCGCACGCCTGTAATCCCAGCACTCAGGAGGCTGAGGCAGGAGGATTGTTGCAAGTTTGAGATCAACCTGGGCTACAAGGTGAGCTCAAGGCCAGCCTGAACTGCATAAGAAGACCTTGTCTCAAGAAGACAAAAAAAAAGAAGAAGAAAGTATACAAATAAATAAAGAAGCAATAAAGATGAACTCATAGCAGGACCTAGAAGTGGGGAGAAGGTTAAGAAAGACATATGCAAATCTGTGCAAGTAAGAGTGAGAGACCTGGGTGATAAAGCAGATCTATTTGTCTCGAAAAGAAAGTCAAGCGAGGCATGTGGTGGACACCTGTAGTCTCAGCTTCTCTGGAGACTAAGGCAGGAGGTTTGCTTCAGCTCAGGAGTTTGAAACTAGTCTGGAGCACTCAGGAGGCTGAGGCAGGAGGATTGTTGCAAGTTTGAGACCAGCCTGGGCTACAAAGTGAGTTCAAGGCCAGCTTGAACTGCATAAGGAGACCCTGTCTCAAAAAAAAAAAAAGAAACCAGTCTGGGCAAACAAAGCAAGACCCTGACTCAAAAAGAAAATCATATTGCTCTTTAAGGTGGATGAAGAGGACTGTGGGAATTGAATCTTTACGTCCAGATAAAGAGCTTTAGTGTGAAATGCCACGTGATAGAAAGCCACTCGTGGTCATTTGGAAATGTCCATCCCACCCGAGGCTCTGCATGTGGGTTGTGCAAAACATGGAAGGGAGTGGGTTACAGCCTCCCTGCGGCACGGAAGCAACTTCTCCTCCTCTGCCCACTCTCAGCCGGTGGAGATCAGCGGGGCCATCGAGGAGGAGTTCACCGTGGCCCGACTTTACATCAGCAAAATCAAATCGGAGGTCAAGTCAGTGGTCAAACGGTGTCGGCAGCTGGAGAACCTGCAGGTGGAGTGTCACCGCAAGATGGAAGTGACCGGGCGGGAGCTGTCGTCCTGCCAGCTCCTCATCTCCCAGGTGAGTGCCTGACGGGGAGAGCACCTGGGTGCCGTGGGAGAAAGAAGACTGTTTTTGGTTATGGGTAAAACTCCCAACACACAACCTTGGGGCTGGGGGTTTAGCTCAGCGGCACAGCGCCTGCCTGGCAAGCGCAAGGTCGTGAGTTCGATTCCCGGTACCGGAAGAAAAAAAACAAAACAAAACAAAAAACCACAACCTCTATGTCAGCATCCTGGGGTCAGCTGAAACCAAGGGCGGAAAGCTAGCAGCGCGGAGGGGAAGCACTGGCAAAAAGAGTGAAGGAGTTCAAGGAGTACGCTCTCTGAGCTGAGAGTCTAAAGGAAGACTCTGGGAATAGCCCCTGGCCCTTCCTCCTCCGGGAAGGCACAGCAGGAGGGGAGAGCTTGGGAGGAGAGCTGGGGTACATAGAGGTGTGTGCTGCTGCTTGGGGCTGTGTCCTTTGCTCCAATTGTCTTTCTCTTGCCGACTGTCTTCCTCCAGCACGAGGCCAAGATCCGCTCGCTCACGGAGTACATGCAGAGTGTGGAGCTAAAGAAGCGGCACCTGGAAGAGTCCTATGACTCCCTGAGTGATGAGCTGGCCAAGCTCCAGGCCCAGGGTGAGACCTTTGTAGACCTCCATCCCACCCGTCCTGGCACCTAAGGTCCTAGGGGGCGGGGAGGGAAAGTCACAAACCTCAGAAGAAACCGCTGGGCGTGGTGGCACATGCCTGTAACCCCAGCACTTGGGAGGCTGAGGCAGGAGGATCTTTGCAAGTTTGAGACCAGCCTGGGCTACAAAGTGAGCTCGGCCAGTCTGAACTGCAAAGTGAGACTGTTTCAAAAAGATAAAAAAAAGAAGAAGAAAAAAAGAAACCACCCAACAGCCCCTCACCCAAAGGATCAGCCTGAACTGTAGATGCCGACTCAGGCCATTGAGCCAAGCTTTTGCATGTAGATTTTATGGGAATCATAATCCCTCCCATCCTCTGTGTCCCTGTCATATCAGACTGGACTCTCCTAACCCAGAAGAACATCCTGGGTCTGTCCCCAGCCCGGCCGGGAGCTCTGTCTCAACATGAAGTTCTCTCTGTAGGAGGCGGGTTTGATACACGCTTCCTTCCCTTTTTCCCTTAGAAACGGTACATGAAGTGGCTCTGAAGGACAAGGAGCCGGACACACAGGATGCAGACGACGTGAAGGTGAGCAGGGAGGTGTGGGGGTGACTGGAGCCTGGTAGGCTGCGGGCTGTGCTCGCTCTCATAGAACTTGTACCTGGGAGTCTGGCTCTGAGCTTAGGGGGGCGCTGTTTGCAGAAGGCCCTGGAACTGCAGATGGAGACCCATCGGGAGGCGCATCACCGGCAGCTGGCCCGGCTCCGGGATGAGATCAACGAGAAGCAGAAGACCATTGATGAACTCAAAGAGTAAGGACCTGAGAGGGTGGCTGTCATCTCTACCACGTCTTCTTACCTTGCTGTGTCCACTCAGATCCTCCTTCAGGACTGGATTCTTTAACTTTCACATGTCATTTCCCATTCCCTACGGTGGCGCACGCCTGTAATCCCAGCATTCAGGAGGCTGAGGCAGGAGGATGGTTGTGAGTTAGAGGCCAGCCCGGGCTACAAAGTGAGCTCAAGGCCAGCCTGAACTGCATAGCGAGACCCTGTCTCAAAAAGACCACACACAAAAAAATAACAAACATGTCATTCCCCAACAATGACATAACTTTGCAGTGCAGCTCCAGGAGACACCAGGAGTAAGGACTAGTCCCCATCCTTGAGGGAAGCTCAGGGCTTCTTACTGTCCTGGAGACAGACCGTGACATGAGTTGCTGGAGGTAAAAGCGTCACCTTTTTTGTCTTAAACTACCGTTTTTGGTACATTTTAGATATCCATAATGATCACATTCACCACAGTGAATTTGTACCTGTACATGGTATATTTCTTTTTTGGTGCTGGGAATCGAACTCAGGACCTTGCACTTGCCAGGCAGGTGCTTGTGCTGCTGAACTATATCCTCAGCCCATAGCATATCTTGATTCTTCTTTTTCCCCCATTTCCCTCTCCTCCCTTCAACACTTCTTCCCTCCTTATTTACAAAAGCGTTGTTTCCACTTTTTCCTTCTCTTTTTTCCTTTTCTTTCTTTCCGTCTTCCCCCTCCCACTTGAACATTTTCTTCCTCTTTCACAATGTCTGTTAAACATTTTGGTCCTTAGTCACACTTTCCGTGTCTCCCACCAGAGAAATCATGCAACATTTGAACATGTGTGTCCAATTTATTTCACATAAGAGCATGGTCTCAGGTGCATCTATTTGCCTAGAAATGTCTCAAGCTTATCCTCCTTTATGGCTGAGTAGTACTCCATTATATAAAAACCTCAGATCTTCTTTATCAGTTCATCAGTTGATGGACATTTGGGCTGTTT